CCAAATGTATGAGGCTGATGCAGATGAAATATTCCTCAGACCTATGCAAAATGCTGATGCAGCTTTGGCTCAGCTGAGGTGACCATCTGAGTAACGCGCATTTGATGTTCGCTTAAGCAATCGCCACGAAACTGGACTTTAATGTGGTGCGATGGTTTGCTTGCTCCAACGATCCACTGAGCCATGCTGCGTTGTGCTTTTTGCACCTTTAGAGCTATTCATACCAGATTGGTCAATGGTTAGAGGCCAGACAAACTCAGTCTCGTGGCCCTCCAGGTTGGGAGTTGGAGTGAATGTAGTTAGTTTCGCCGTAAAACGGGTTTTATACGACTCAATGCCGAATCAGATGCACTGAGTTTAGGTTTTTGAACCAAAGGCTTTGGTTGAGAAACCCACTCGTTCTCCTGTATAGGCCTGGGCAGCCTGACAGTAGCTTGCTCAAGCAATACAATTGAATTCCTCTCCAAACAAATCCGTGATGCACCGGCCGCCGCAGAGGATAATTAACGGCAGCGTATCTCCTGTATCGAGCAGGGTAGATAGGGGTGAAAGTGTTACTGCCCAGACCTTCCAGTCATCTTATTCTTGTGCATTTTCATCACTATCGTCTCACAACAACTTCACTTTTATCGCCTTTGTTTACAACCCTCCAATATTTTGTCCTCCCCCATCTTGCTTAAATAGTCGTGTGCTTTTTAGTTTCAAACACAGGAAGCCGCTCCAGTCCAGTCGACAAGTCCATGTTCAACCAAGCGGACAAAGCCAGTTCATGCATTCCTAATTGGAGCCCCCGATCTTCCCTAAGGCTGACATGCCTCAACGTGCGTACTTTGTTAGGGATTGGCCAAGAGGCAGCACTTGCTCGAACACTAGAGACCCTATCGATCGATAGCTGCGATTTATGGGAAACCCACCTGAAAGATTTGGGCTCTGTGCTTAACCTGAGATCCCTCATATGCAACATCAGCGGCATTTTCGCACTGCACTTGTCCGGAGATGACGCAGCTTCAAATGCGAGTCAAGCCGATGTGGTCATTGCTTTCAGCCCTCGGGCTGAAGCTGCTCTGATCGATTGGATCGCAAAGAACAGCCGGACCTGCGCCAGCAGACCGGCTGGAGTGTTCAAAGATTCGAAATCAAACGGTGCCTGTTTGTCATTGCGCACCCATAAACTGTAGCACAGATTCGGCAATTGAACGAGCTGCTTCGTCTCAGAAAGAGTACAGATAATTTGGTGCTTGTTGATGATCTGAACGTCCAAGTTGGAAAACTGTCCACTGATGAGCTGCATTTGGGCGGATAACACGGTGTACGCTCCCGTAATGATAACGGTGAGCGATTGCTACAGCTGCGTAAAAATGCTCCTCTCTTTCTCGCGAGCACAAACTTTCGACACAGCACCCGCAGAAGAGTGACATGGCGCACACCAGAATCGGGCTAGCCCTGGACGCAAATCGATCACATCACGATCAGTTACAATTGGACAGGCTGCGTCCAAAACTGCCGCTCAATTTGGAGCACGAGCGTGGACTCCGATCACGCAGTCACGTGTAGCTTTTGGCGAACATCCGCAATGGTGCTGTGAGCACAAAGACCCCAGCTAACTGGCGAAACCAGATATTCTGAATGTGTATCAAACTACGATGGCATCCGGGAGGAGTGAACGCTCCCTGAACACACTGGAAGATCAATGGTCCCATATATACCAGAAGTTATTAGCAACAGGCATGTTTTCACGTGGCAAACAAAATCGTCAACATGGACATTGGATCTCTTCATAGTCTCACCATGGTTGAGCATTCAGTCTAATGCGAGAAACGGGTAGCAGGAGACCTGATATTAGCGAAAGTGTACGCGGCGAGAGTAGACAGCCAATCCACAGCTGACCATAACGCTTGGAACGTCATACTGAACACATTGAAAAGTATTTTAATAAACCAGAATTGTCATCTTCCTTATCGGTCATTGATCGCCCTGCTCCATTGGCCGTTTCCTTGGATCCGCCCTCACGCGCGGAAGTTGAAGTTGAAATTAAATAAGGCAGTAGCAGATGGACTTCCTCCAGTGTTCTTCAAATTCGAGGGACCTGCACTTGTAGATAATTTGCACAACGTACTTGTGAATTTGTGGGAGCAGAAGACTGTCTCAGCAGACTGGATCAACTCCATTATAGTCCCAATTTTCAAGGAAGGCTCACGTTCAGACGGCGGCAATCACAGAGAGATCAGTCTGATCTCTATTGCCTCTAAATGGTTTGCCTCTCTCGTGCTCCACAGACTGAGTGGCACTTGTGAGTCAGATTCGCGAGGAGCAAGTCAGGTTTCGTCGAAAGCAAGTATGTATTGACCATATCTTCACCTTACGCAAATTGTTAGAACACCGCCATATTTATTGGCGAATCACCGTAGGCAAGTTTCTCGACATCAAAGATGTCTTCGATTCGGCGGCTCGATGTACCCTTTGGGACTGTCTACACAGGAAAGATGCCTGAGAAATACCTTAACATTATCTGTGCTGTACGCGCATAGTTTGGGCAGTGTGAGGGTTTATGGCAGACAGTCGCTGCCCTTCAACGGTGTGAGACAAAGTTGTCTGCTGTCAGCTTTTCTCCTTAACTTCGCCATCGACGAAGTCATGTAAGTGGCATTCATTGGACACACGACCTAGAAGGTATGGAGCTGCTTTCAGGTGACCGACTTATTGACCTGGAGTATGCCGACGACAATGCCGTAAGCTGTGAAAGCTCCCGAACGTGCCAAACAGTACTGGTTGTTAATCGTTTCGGGCTATGCTTTGGACCGTCGAAATGCAGTCTTCCAAGATTGGCAGAGCCGCACCGCTGCGCTGACCCTTTGTGGGAATCAGCTAGAAGTCGTCCGGAAATTCAAATATCTGGGTAGCTATATTAGCGCCGGTGGAATAGAAGACAAGATCGCGAACCGTATGACAAAAACCCGATGTGCATTCGCTAATCACCGCCACCTATGGCGTCAGTGTGATATCACTCTCGCCCTGAAGGACAGAGTTTATAATGCAGTCGCGTCGTTTAATCGTCCGGTACAGTTGCGAGACATGCCCTATCAAATCGACAGATATAAAAAAGCATGTTACGTTCGCCCGTTAATGTCTTTGCAATTGGGCTCATTTCGGGTAGGAAAACCGTGTGAACAATAAGCGTGTTCGGCGTTGTGGATTTAGTGCCGGAAGAGCGAGTGAACCGCTCAGCGACGTTATCTCACGCACCAAGCTCAGATGGTTAGCCGCGCGTTGCGTATGTCAGCACACCGACTGTCGCGACGTGCACCTTTTGCGCGACGGGGGTATGGTCGGAAGAGGAAGGGAGATCAACAGATGATGTGGTCAAGAGGAATGAAGTTTCCTATTTCGAACTTGGCGTCGCTTGGTGTCCCCCGACTGTCAGGTTGGAGCCCAAAGGATGACGAACACGTTTGCTTGGATACACTTGTTGATATGGCGAAGAGCCCGGCTCAGTGCTGTTTGCGTTGTGAGCTTCCTTGTCCCTTCCCTTCCCGCTTAGCTTCCCCCTCCAACAATGATCGCACAATGCATGGATAAGATTACACTTAGCATTATATTACTTGCTTCTTGGTTTTGTATTTGGTAGTGTTTAGTAACTCGCGCTTTTATAAATGGCATCCTTTTGCGTTGCAGCACAGTTCGCTGAAGTGTATTTCTCACCTTCAGCTAAGGTGTAATGATGACGAAAACCCAATGAGAGGCATAGCATTCGTAGTTCAATTCACCATTCCAATGGGAATTGGAATAATTTGAAACACTGGTAGGCAGGGTAGGTTATTCAACTGTTGATTGGTTCACTGAGCCTGATTAAATGGTCGCATACGTTTCGCTACCATGCGAGGTGGCATCTTCAGTGAGGTGGTGCGTGATGGACAATCTCAAAAATTAATCGTCTATTCTTGATCGATGGGCAGATGACTTTCGAAAGTGACGTCTTTGTTTTGTGGCCTGTGATCTTTGCCCATTTTCCCCCGCGGCCGAAGCAGTCGCACGAGTTGTTCGTTGAGTAGCTCGTTGCGAGCACTGCTTTTCAAATCGCCGGATCTTTCGTTCTGAGCTGTTGGTATATGGGGTTGATGTCGATGCGTATTTGATCGAGTTATTACAGGAGAACCAAGCTTCAAGGAATTGCGTGGGATTATAAAAATGTGATGTAAATATGACTAGCATTGGGTCAGAAAACGAAACACACAGTAGTCCACTTCGGTGAAAAAAGGAGAAAACTGTGCGATAGAAGTGAGCGGCACGAAGCGAATCACGACAGTGAAAGGGAAAATAACCTGATGGAAAGACCCATAGGAACACACAGGTGGAAAGCCGATGGAAAAGTAGGGAAACAGAAGTAAATTTAGTACGTTCGATTGACAGGGCGAAGTAGGGGAACGAAAGCAAGGGCGATGTTGAGCCGCACCCATGAACATAGAAAGCCAGCAGCTTACACAAACTCTGTGTCCAGTCTTCTCGAGCATCTGTGTTGTATCATTGTCCGGTCAGTTTGGTGCGTCTTTTGACACGGTACACAAACACACACACACTCGGTACCACAATCTTATTCCGAATGTATAACACTACATTACCGGTTTTTGTTATGATTTTGCATTCTACAATGATTAATATGTCCTTTTTCCTCAGATATATTATCTATTTGTATTGCGACACAATAGCTGACAGGTTTCTCACCTTCAGCTAACGTGTAAAAGTGATGATGAACAGAAACACACCTACATATAGAGGTGGCGGTTGCAGCCACAACAATGCAAAGCGCTGTGTGGACTGAGAAGACAATAAGGCAATAGGAACAAACGCTGGAGGTGTTCAAACTCTGTGGTAAAATAGAAAGAAAAAAGTCAAATCCAACGAGTGCACAGATAGACCACCACTGACTGTGGTGATCAGAGGGCACGCACTGCTCAAGCAGACCGGGATGAAAGTGAGTAACAAGCACTAGGGTTCGGATTCACCTTCGGATAGGCGTAAGCAACTGTGCGTACCCCCTGAATAGCCATGAGAATGGATATGAGGATAATTCGCTCTTCGGGAACATCATGCTCGACCAACACTCGCATAGCCATGATTGCAGCTGCCCCCGTGGCGACAGTGGAATCCATCAGTATGACGTAGCAATCCTGAAAAAAAGAAATAAGAGTGGTAGTGAAGATAGGCCAGAGAAAACCCAGTGGGGTACCATAAAAGAGACGATGTTCACAGGCAAGTGGCAAATTAGGAGAAAGGTGGGTTTCCGAATTGTATACGGATGAAGGTAATGGTAGAAGCTAGCGAGTGAAGGGCACTTTGTCAGGGTGAGCCTACGGCGTCCAATGCGAACGTATCGAACCCCAATCCAATAATACAAGCCCGATGGATGAAAAGCGACATAGATTGACGCTGGGGTAATGTGGAGTGCACCAAAAAGGGAAAGATCAGTCTTGCACTTGTTCAACGGCCAGCGAAAAAAATTGTATTGTGAGAAAAGCTGAAATGGGAATAGAGACCAAGGTATACTTAAAGACAATGTAAGCATAGAAGGTTCACAGGTAGCATAAAAAATAAAAGAAGAATTTATTGTTGGGTCGCGGATGGTGACAATCAATCTCAATTTGAGCCACGAGTTGGCTCAAATTAAGCCTGGATCATTGTTATCGCCGGGATCACATCTGAAGTGGGAGGACATGTTGCAACAGAGATAACAGTCGGAGGACAAGGTGTCGATTTGCATTGGCTAAGTGTTTGGAGGTTTAGAACTTTTAACAATGTGGAGGCATACTACAACGATGGTAAGCAAGATGAAAACAAGAACAGGTTAGAGCATGAGACCGTCCCAAAAATCACAAGGAGGTAAAAATCCTTGAGTTAGGTCTAACAGTAAGGCATGTGGACATAAACGTTGAGACAGCATAGGAATAATCAAGCATCCATGAAACCTTGATGAAAAAGTTAACGTAACTGTAGCTTACAGAAATCGGTAGAGAGAGGCTTTGCGCAAGAAGGACGAGTCAGGTTGAACTGAATGCGATGGCGAATGTATACATATGTAGTCGGCCAAAAAGATGCACCATGAAAAAGGGGTCTCTACTGAAACACAAACGACGCTGCGAATACCAACAAGGAAGCATATAATGGAGCACTGAAGATAACCGAAGTATAGTTGGATGCCCAGTGCAAACCACTGGCTGGTTTAAAACACTTCTGACCGTAGCGTTTGAACTTCACTGAGTTGAATAATCAAAATCCAATAACCTGGTAAATTTAAGTTCTTCAAATGTGTAGAAAACGCATAGTGAAGTTGAACGAAGTCAAAACAATTCTAAGATGGTTGTGATGAAACACCAGTATAACACTGACCTTGATGTCACTGGGCAATCGGAGATAGTGAAGCTCTGGCTCGAAAGTGTCGGGGTTCGTTTGTATCAAAATCTTGCCAAGTCGTACGTCCTTACAGACGGCGCAAAGAGCCGGTTCTAAAGCCTCACCTGCGCGCAGGATAGAAACACCGCAAATCTGAGTACCAGTGGCAAGTTGTCGGCCATGGTAGGGAATTCCTTGGGGCGTGTCAACGACTACGTCCTGAGAGGATTGTGCAAACGTAAGAACATTGTCAACACAAGGGGGGAGAGAGAGGGGGAGGTAAAAGAATAGCGGAGACAAAGAATTGGACTAACCATATGTGGGAGAAGATTGATTGCGTATTCGCAGAGGGGGCGCATCAGGCGTTCGGAGTAAAAGACGAACATATCCTGACTGGTGGCGCGGTTTCGGATAATCGTGTGCAGACCTTTAGTCTGTGGTGTAGACGGAAGCACATGCACTTTGGGTGGCAGCACAAACCTTAACTCACTGCCAAGACCATTAACGATTCCGTTGCACTGTGTTTGGTTGAACCGCTCTCCACTAGAGTCCACCGGTCCATTCTGCAGAGGAACTGAGGAGGGCCGGAGTAAATGAAAGGCATCATCGGAGGCCTGGAAATTGGCCAGGGCACGACGGCACTCAGGTCCTTGCTTGGAGAAGAAGGGAAGATAGATTCGGATCAAACCCAACCAACGAAAAGAGGCAGGTAGTAATCACGAGGACAACGTACCCGTCGTAGGCGTTTGTTCACATGTTGGATGATTAGTTGCAATGCAACTTTGTTCTGGCCGCCTGCGAAGAGGGAGAATGTGACAAGGCCATATCAGATGGCTGAGGGAGAATAAGCAGGTAATAGAGTTGGGCAAGAGAAGTAAAAAAAACTCATAACTGATGCAAAAGGAAGACACAAAAGTGCCGGTCCCGCATTAGCACTTCTAGCGACAAAGATTTCTCCCGTTGTCACAAGCCATGACGACGTGATAGTACTAAAAAGATGAAACTATGTAAGATGAATATCAAGAAGCTTGTAAGCACGACAGTAAAACTTAAAGGTACTTCTAGATGAAAAACGGCAGGCAAGAGGAGCTGTATACCAAAACCACTTTGTATGCACCGAAAGACCCATGTAGCTGGGCACGTGCAATGCACTAGCCCGATCAAGCCGATAGATCAATTCCACGGCATTCTTGGTCGTTTGCAAACGATCATACTAAAGGCTCAACAACGAAAGCACAGTGTTGGCAAACAGTGTAAATCGGGATAGGTCGTCGAGGTATTGAGAGCTCGTTGGCAAATATCGGTAAGCGAACCGTATCGCTGTTCTTCGGATGTGTCGACTGAGCATAAGGGATAAAGCGTAAGCCGCGGTGCTTCGATCCGTTAAAACCGACAATTTCTTCCACGCGCAGTACAGCGTGGCCATCAGACGAAAAACTTGTCTCCACCAATTTCGTAGCTGTTAATGGATTGGAAAAGCTTTGCTGACGCGCCCAATAGCCTCTTCGGTGATCAGACCGAAGTGAATAGATCAGCTACTTCGAGTGGTTGTGAGAAAGGCAGCCTACTGGTCAATGCAACAATGCAACGTTGTATCATGTAGGCACGAAGTGTCTGTTGAAACGTACAACATCCTGCATCATCTCATAGTCCGAATGAAGTGAGCAAGAAAGTTGTGATCGGTATTGGTCGAAACTTGAAGCGAGCAAAAGCAGAGCGTAAGCGGTTCGAAAGCGGCGAGCAAACTCAAGTAACCAAATAAGGAGCATAAATTAAAATCAGTGTATCACCACTGATTTAACGGGGCACGAGTACTAATTGAACAATGGACAGCTAAACAATACACGTCTCCGAGACTCCGATAAAAGGAAGGGAGACATAAGATGCGGTAAAGAATTTACTTGTCCTCGGAATGAATGTGAGTTAGTGTAAAGTGCCACGTATTCACAACTGTAAGATATTTGTCAGGCGCAATCAACGTACAAACCTGTTTCGTTCCAGGGCCTTCTAATCTATTATGATCAAAAGCAAGGCAGTGCAAGGCAATCTCATTTTGCTGTGCTACAGATTCCAAGCCATTATACTTTTTGTAGCCCCAACGACTTCTCCATTTTAGCTTCCGCTCCCAATGAGACGGACTATATAAATATAAATATACCATTTTCAGTTGAAATTGGACGTTTCGCAATCCAAATTGGACACATTGCATTCTAGACTGAAAATCAGCAATTTGTTAACAGCAGCGGCTGAGAGAGAACGGGATCTACCTACCCATATCTGATGTTCTCAACGCCCACAGAAGGATAAAGATAACGCTCAAGAAGTGATACTACGAATTAGACTGCGCCAACAGTAACACGACAATCGCAACCTGATAGACCTACGCTAACGACATCTCAGTACACGCCCTACTCCTAAATGCTAATTTCGACAGTTTGGTTTGAAAAACGCCCACTTTAAAATGAAAGTGGTGTATTAAGAATGAAGAGACCAGCATTAAACCTGGTTAGTTAATGAAGGGGTGTCCGGCTGCTGCGCTTGTCAGGCTCAGCATCAAATTGAGGACGCAGTTCGCGTAGTCCTGGTGGGTTATCATTCCAACCACACATAACTTCTGGTAAGGCGTCGGGTTGGTCAGCAGGCATCTCACCAACATGTTCTACTGGGTTTAGTATGTAGGAGTAGAGCGACAGGAAATTCGGCTGATAAGACGAGCCCAAGATCCTCATTAGATCGTCCGGCAAGTGGATCGTGGCTTTTTCCATGATCGATCATACACCATTCACCTCCACTTTGTAGCGCACACGTTCCACAAGTTCCTTGACGAACACTGAGAACTTTGCATCACTGCAGGTGCCATTGCTGATGATCTTTGAGTGAACGGTCCCTTGCATTGCCACAACCAACGTCACCTTGCGACCTCTGAATGTGGGCGAGAGGACGTTCGCGCTCGTCACTCTTCATGAGCAAGCCTGCGTCCGCCGCAAATGGGGATTGAACCGGCTTTACATCCAAGACGCATTTCTCTTTGTTATGCGGCGCGAGTACCGAGAAGTCAGGAGCATACGACTGCCGGTTTCCGATTGTCGTGGCACTGTTGACGCGGTCTAACTCGTGGTGACTATTCTTGAGCGTTATCTTTAACCTACTGAGAGCGTCGAAGACAGTAGATAAGGATGGGTGGATCCCGCTCTCGTTCAGGCCCTGCTGTAGCTGTACCAAGGTGTCCTCGAAATGCCGTTCAGCGGTCTCTTCAACGCGCAGCAGGACATAAGAAGTCAGCTTCTTCGTCGTTTCATCCACATTTGCGTTGAACATTGGCGCCTTCTCAGCTGTAGACAATGAAGATGTTTCCAGCCATGCTCTTGTTGGCATCCGCGACCACAGCAGCTTCGTGGGTGGTTTTGCCGCGACGAGCACAAGCTTGGTGAGGATCCCTTTCTGTGCCGATAACGTTCGCTTGTACCGCCGCAGCCTCGGTAATGCGTGCTAACATCATTCGTCGCTCATTTTGGCTGTTTCGTGAAGCACAATGTTAATAAACGTTTGATGGAATCATGAAAGTAAGCGACGAATTCTCTTTGAGTTCGATTGACGCTTAAAAGTCTTCGGATTCAACCAAGAAAGGAAGCAGAGCTGTTAGATATGGTACTACTCGCCACTGAATAAAGTCACTGCCAACAATACATCCTGGCAAGTTGACTAGAGTCATATTTCACTATTTCCGTGATACATATAAGAAAAAGATACTCTCTGTCTACATAAACCGTCACCACCACATGTATAGTGTCTTTACTGTTAGACGCACATACGAACCCAAATTATCGTCACCTAAATGACGATTTTGTCCCTCATGAGTACTTCTTCCATGTTTGCAGCTTGTACAACTTTCTGCCACTGCTGTTTACAGGTATAGCAAAGTGTCTGTTGCGAAATATCCTTGCTTGTAAATTTTGATCATGCCTGATTCGGTGTGCCTCGTAAATACAAGAATAAACTTGCTCATTTATGTATTCAAATAGGGATCAAAATACAGCATGTACATACCTCGGCAATACCCGTTCAGTTTCGAAACAACCAGTCTTCACAATGTCCAAAAAGAATGCATACTGTACTTGACACCGTAAATTAATAGTCACACGATACCGTCTAGGATCAGAATAGAACCTTTCTTTTATTAGGTCCGCTAACCCTTGGCGCATTAGTTCGCTATACTTCGTATGAAAAAAACGCGATGAGTTCGACTCTTGGGGTGGATCCGTGCCAATCAAACGGAGGCGGAAGTGGGAGGAACCTAAAGGTGTGTGCTTCCAGGGCGGGAGGATGATTCAAGTCTGAGATGTGTGAGGGATTGAACAGGTTGCACAGTGTGATAGTGAGCGCTTCCCACAGTGAGAGGAGAAGTGAATCCATGGTAACAACAATATGAAATCACACGAGGGATAATCAGTAAGCGGGGGTTCATCAGATGGAGAAGGCGTCTGGTTTGGTCATCCAGATTGAGTGAGATCCAGACATGCATCTTTCGAACTACATAATAGTTGCGTCGGTGGCCATGAAACCATGGGATAGATAGGTGGTAGGAGTCCAGTTAAAGCGCGTTATCCATTTTGCGAATTGTGTTCTAAATTTGCCGTACAAAATCCAGAGCATTTCCTTCGCAATGAACATCTGTTGGTCTCATGCTCTGGTTCGTCCAAGCCCTACGCCATTTGCTATGGGAGAATTACAGGACCTATAACGGTACGCTAGTATTCTCCTCCTTCGGCATGTTGAACTCACAGTGGTCCTCCATGGAGTAGCAGATTCGGAGATCCACCTTCCATCCGCGGAAAGTGAATAGCCGAAACTATTCCATCACTCCCGTTGTATCCCTCTAGCAAAACATATCTTTCACACATCTATTTTAAGTATACCGTCTCTTGTCTTCACAATATAGACTGAACTAATCTATAATTACACCTAGCGGACAATTCCCTCTTGTCAGTGCTTCAGTAGCAACTAGTACATCACCACACCTAAAGTTCCTTTCGGTTCTCATCCACTCTCCTCTCTGCTGCAGCATCGGTAAATACCCTTTGGTCCAGCGCTACCAAAATACCGATGTCATATGGTACACCTGAATGGAAATGAAGGGCCATAAGTGCTAAAAAGGATTTTAGTCCCGTGATTCACCGGTGCTAAGCCTATTCGATTTTACCAGGCAAAGCGGCTGAAGGCTTAATCGAGTTTGATTACTTTACTGCTGAACTAACCGAAGAAAGTAAATTATACAGTTATTTTACTTCATAACACGTCAAGTTTGCTCCGGTGTCTGAAACGGAAATGAATTTCTTTACCAAAACAACGGGTTCCACCGGGCCAAACACAAACGCCATGACTACACAAGTCGTTAAAGCAATTAAAATTTGGTTTCAAAGCACTGAGATGATATAAGGCTACCAGATATGAGATTCTGTACAGTCCAAAGCGTTAACGCGAAAATATCGAAGCAGACTGTTGTTGGTCGTTCCAGAAAACCGGGTTGGGAAGCAAAGGACCCCCAGCATGTATGACTGAAACCCCACTGGATATGGCCAAAGACAGCACGCAATGGCGCACTTGTCTTTTACCTTCCAATTGCCTTTATCCTCTCTTATGCGTTGTGGCACTCACGTCCTAAAATTATCGCTCATTTGTTGACAACCAATTTATTTCATATGCTCATTTATTGAAGAGTTATTTCACCTTGTCTGTATGCATTGTCGGCCGGTGGCTGAGTGGTATGCCAGTTTGGTTTGCAACCATAAGGTCAC